AAAACGACTAACTCGACCATGGTCGAGTTCGCCGGAAAACGACTAATTCGACCATGGTCGAGTTCGCCGGAAAACGACTAACTCGACCATGGTCGAGTTCGCCGGAAAACGACTAATTCGACCATGGTCGAGTTCGCCGGAAAACGACTAACTCGACCATGGTCGAGTTCGCCGGAAAACGACTAACTCGACCATGGTCGAGTTCGCCGGAAAACGACTAATTCGACCATGGTCGAGTTCGCCGGAAAACGACTAACTCGACCATGGTCGAGTTCGCCGGAAAACGACTAACTCGACCATGGTCGAGTTCGCCGGAAAACGACTAACTCGACCATGGTCGAGTTCGCCGGAAAACGACTAACTCGACCATGGTCGAGTTCGCCGGAAAACGACTAACTCGACCATGGTCGAGTTCGCCGGAAAACGACTAATTCGACCATGGTCGAGTTCGCCGGAAAACGACTAACTCGACCATGGTCGAGTTCGCCGGAAAACGACTAACTCGACCATGGTCGAGTTCGCCGGAAAACGACTAACTCGACCATGGTCGAGTTCGCCGGAAAACGACTAATTCGACCATGGTCGAGTTCGCCGGAAAACGACTAATTCGACCATGGTCGAGTTCGCCGGAAAACGACTAACTCGACCATGGTCGAGTTCGCCGGAAAACGACTAACTCGACCATGGTCGAGTTCGCCGGAAAACGACTAATTCGACCATGGTCGAGTTCGCCGGAAAACGACTAACTCGACCATGGTCGAGTTCGCCGGAAAACGACTAACTCGACCATGGTCGAGTTCGCCGGAAAACGACTAATTCGACCATGGTCGAGTTCGCCGGAAAACGACTAATTCGACCATGGTCGAGTTCGCCGGAAAACGACTAACTCGACCATGGTCGAGTTCGCCGGAAAACGACTAACTCGACCATGGTCGAGTTCGCCGGAAAACGACTAACTCGACCATGGTCGAGTTCGCCGGAAAACGACTAATTCGACCATGGTCGAGTTCGCCGGAAAACGACTAACTCGACCATGGTCGAGTTCGCCGGAAAACGACTAACTCGACCATGGTCGAGTTCGCCGGAAAACGACTAATTCGACCATGGTCGAGTTCGCCGGAAAACGACTAACTCGACCATGGTCGAGTTCGCCGGAAAACGACTAATTCGACCATGGTCGAGTTCGCCGGAAAACGACTAACTCGACCATGGTCGAGTTCGCCGGAAAACGACTAATTCGACCATGGTCGAGTTCGCCGGAAAACGACTAACGACCATGGTCGAGTTCGCCGGAAAACGACTAACTCGACCATGGTCGAGTTCGCCGGAAAACGACTAATTCGACCATGGTCGAGTTCGCCGGAAAACGACTAATTCGACCATGGTCGAGTTCGCCGGAAAACGACTAACTCGACCATGGTCGAGTTCGCCGGAAAACGACTAATTCGACCATGGTCGAGTTCGCCGGAAAACGACTAATTCGACCATGGTCGAGTTCGCCGGAAAACGACTAACTCGACCATGGTCGAGTTCGCCGGAAAACGACTAACTCGACCATGGTCGAGTTCGCCGGAAAACGACTAATCGACCATGGTCGAGTTCGCCGGAAAACGACTAATTCGACCATGGTCGAGTTCGCCGGAAAACGACTAACTCGACCATGGTCGAGTTCGCCGGAAAACGACTAATTCGACCATGGTCGAGTTCGCCGGAAAACGACTAATTCGACCATGGTCGAGTTCGCCGGAAAACGACTAACTCGACCATGGTCGAGTTCGCCGGAAAACGACTAACTCGACCATGGTCGAGTTCGCCGGAAAACGACTAACTCGACCATGGTCGAGTTCGCCGGAAAACGACTAACTCGACCATGGTCGAGTTCGCCGGAAAACGACTAATTCGACCATGGTCGAGTTCGCCGGAAAACGACTAACTCGACCATGGTCGAGTTCGCCGGAAAACGACTAACTCGCCATGGTGTCGACCGGAAACGATTGACCATGGATTCGCCGGAAAACGACTCGACCATGGTCGAGTTCGCCGGAAAACGACTAATCGACCATGGTCGAGTTCGCCGGAAAACGACTAACTCGACCATGGTCGAGTTCGCCGGAAAACGACTAATTCGACCATGGTCGAGTTCGCCGGAAAACGACTAATTCGACCATGGTCGAGTTCGCCGAAAACGACTAACTCGACCATGGTCGAGTTCGCCGGAAAACGACTAACTCGACCATGGTCGAGTTCGCCGGAAAACGACTCTCGACCATGGTCGAGTTCGCCGGAAAACGACTAATTCGACCATGGTCGAGTTCGCCGGAAAACGACTAATTCGACCATGGTCGAGTTCGCCGGAAACGACTAACTCGACCATGGTCGAGTTCGCCGGAAAACGACTAATTCGACCATGGTCGAGTTCGCGGAACGACTAACTCGACCATGGTCGAGTTCGCCGGAAAACGACTAACTCGACCATGGTCGAGTTCGCCGGAAAACGACTAACTCGACCATGGTCGAGTTCGCCGGAAAACGACTAATTCGACCATGGTCGAGTTCGCCGGAAAACGACTAACTCGACCATGGTCGAGTTCGCCGGAAAACGACTAATTCGACCATGGTCGAGTTCGCCGGAAAACGACTAATTCGACCATGGTCGAGTTCGCCGGAAAACGACTAATTCGACCATGGTCGAGTTCGCCGGAAAACGACTAATTCGACCATGGTCGAGTTCGCCGGAAAACGACTAATTCGACCATGGTCGAGTTCGCCGGAAAACGACTAATTCGACCATGGTCGAGTTCGCCGGAAAACGACTAATTCGACCATGGTCGAGTTCGCCGGAGAACGACTAACTCGACCATGGTCGAGTTCGCCGGAAAACGACTAACTCGACCATGGTCGAGTTCGCCGGAGAACGACTAACTCGACCATGGTCGAGTTCGCCGGAAAACGACTAATTCGACCATGGTCGAGTTCGCCGGAAAACGACTAACTCGACCATGGTCGAGTTCGCCGGAAAACGACTAATTCGACCATGGTCGAGTTTGCCGGAAAACGACTAACTCGACCATGGTCATATATTCGCCGGAAAATGGCAAATATACGACCATGGTCATATATTCGCCGGAAAATGGCAAATATACGACCATGGTCATATATTCGCCGGAAAATGGCAAATATACGACCATGGTCATATGTTCGCCGGAAAATGGCAAATATACGACCATGGTCATATATTCGCCGGAAAATGGCAAATATACGACCATGGTCATATATTCGCCGGAAAATGGCAAATATACGGCCATGGTCATATATTCGCCGGAAAATGGCAAATATACGACCATGGTAATATGTTCGCCGGTAAATGGCAAATACTATATACGACCATGGTCATATACTGTTCGTCGGAAAATGGCAAATATACGACCATGGTCATATATTCGCCGGAAAATGGCAAATATACGACCATGGTCATATACTGTTCGCCGGAAAATGGCAAATATACGACCATGGTCATATGTTCGCCGGTAAATGGCAAATACTATATACGACCATGGTCATATACTGTTCGCCGGAAAATGGCAAATATACGACCATGGTCATATGTTCGCCGGAAAATGGCAAATACTATATACGACCATGGTCATATACTGTTCGTCGGAAAATGGCAAATATACGACCATGGTCATATATTCGCCGGAAAATAGCGTATTCGACCATGGTCGAGTCCGCCAGAAAAAGACGTATTGATTTGACCGTAGTCGAGTGTATCGTTAAACGGGCCCCTTCAGGTTTGAGCCTCCGTGCTCCCCCCCCCCCTCTCGACAGCCCTGGCAAAGTGTGATGTGTATATAATAAGAGCAATGTGTATATTGGCGGAGAAATCAACTAAAGCCTGATACTGTACTGAATGTATGAGTAGCCACCACTCCACCCCAACTCCCCAATTATCGTTCTAGCTGCGCCCCCGCTGATAGGGTTCGGGGGAGAAGAACTTCGTCACGTAGGAGGGGGAATATCCTACCTTACCTTACGTATTGCAGAGTGATCTAGCACCATTGTAGGGAAAGTGATACACGAAAGATAGAACGCCATACAGGAAAGAGCGTTGCGGGCGGTGTATTGTGACTGGAATGTTTCTTATAAGCGGTTATTAGTGTTATGTTATTGCCTAATCTCCTTTTAGTGTATGTTATTTAATGTTAGTGCGTATCTTGGCGCCAAATAAAAGCTTCTGGTTGTTGTCAACACGCGTATATTACAATTAGAATGGGCTAAGCTACCAACCTTGTTAAATAGAAGGCTGCAAGATATAACAATAATTATGTATCAAGTCAAATTTAAGCTGTGTCCAAATTACATACAGGACATATTTTCAAAAAATTCTACAAATTATAACCTAAGAGTTAAGGCATTTTTTATACCTAGATTTAATACAGTGACTTATGGCAAACACTCACTTAGGTATTTTGGGCCACGATTGTGGTCTAAATTGCCAGCAAATATAAGGTCTATTAGATCTTTGCAATTATTTAAAAGAACAATTAGAAAATTAGACCTAGAGAATTTAACTGATACGTGCAAGAACTGCTCAGTTTGTAGTACATAATAGTTTTGTAAAATATCTCTAGTCATATCGTATAGAAATGTAGAAATTCATATTTTATTAGTTAATATATACTATGTAAATAGTGTCCTTACTTAGTGGGTCTATACTGCTATGTTTCTCTGACACTTAAATAAAGTTATTATTATTATTATTATTATTCAAATAAACCATTATTCTGATTAAATAGTTAATATAGTATTTTAAGATTCATGTAGCCAATTTGTAAATTACCTAAAATAGAGAGATTTGCAATTGTATGTATAAGAAAAAATTCCAATAAAGTTTTCATAATATAAAAACTTGCAGGCGTGAGGCGCTGCCAGGCAGGTCCCCCCCTTGCACCACCCTTGCCCGCAACGCCTGTTTGATATTATACGTGGCATGAGCATGCGTCGTATTGCGAGAAGTCTTCAAGATGGCTGATTATAAACATCGATATTTTCTGGTATGTTATTTTATTTCATTCATATTTCACAATTTTCCGCCCGTAAACTTGTCCGAAACGAACCCGGGTTGAACCTAATGCATCATTTTAGCCGCTCGCTTTGTGTGTTTGCGATTTTTTTTTACACCAATTGCCTTTTTATTATTTTATAATTTATAACAGCGGAGTTTAATATGCTGGTGTTGGTTGTTATTGATGGAAACCAGGGCATTTTATTTGCCGGGAATCGCTCCAATCGACTACGAAAAAGGGAGCATATTGGACGTGAAGGTAGATTATTTAAAATAACAACTTGTTATCGAAAGACCAGAATCAATTGAACTGAATCGCCTTTCAAAAATAATTCATAGAATTTTAACAGCGTTCAAACTTCAAGGAGTAAATGCGCATAAGTTTGGAGATGCTATCATACCCTTGCTCAACTTTCTGTAACCCCTTCAAACGGTATTAGGAAAATGGGAAAATGCTAGAACCTCTTGTTTCATAGGCTGTGAAGATGACAAGCATAAAAACACAGCTGCCTTACGATTATTATTCATTACCATTCTGTGCACCAGAGAAAAAACAGTATATTCCAGAAAATCTAGGTGAGTTTTTGCAGTTGTGTAAAATATAGCTTACCATGCAAAAAGTACTCTGGTCATAGGGTGGTATTTTGGGTCATATCTGACATTACATCATCTCTCTCACAAAGGTAAGGTTCTTCGTCCAGGTGTAAAACCTTCCAAGATGGTTAATCTCCCATCATCTTTCCATCCAATTTTTTGTTTTAACCATTTTATGTTAAACTACTAAGCATTTCTTTAACAGAAATTTGAAAATTTTATATTTTTATGTTTTTTTAGGCGAAGTGTTAAGAGGAGATCGAATTGTGAACACCCCTTACAAGGTGAGATTGGTGCTACCGAAGCTGATGATGATGCTGAAATACTGTGTTTTAGCTGTAGTATCTCCCTTTGTCTAATGCCAGACAATTTTACAATTGTATTTGGATGTGTATCATTCAATTGAGTGAGTTATCTGACAAATGGGAGCAATTATAGAAACCTGGCCAACCCAACGTTTAACAGCCATATATAAAACTATATCTTGTTTTATGTTGCTTGATACATAAATTGGACTCTCACAGAACAAGAATAAATAGTATTTTTACAGCGGATTCCGGTTGACGGCAAAATAACAAGCATTTGCAATGCATGTTGGGTCGTTTAGAATATGACGTTTGAATTTTGAAGTTCACAATTTGAGGTTTTGGTGCGCATCTTGCATGTAAACATATTCGAAATGCTTGCGGTATTTTAAAATATGGAAGTCAACACGAAAGGGCAATTGTACAGTCATTGGAAAGCACCTTTTTTTAACACAAGCACTTTCTTTCAACATTGCAAATATGTCAAAGCACAAATGGAACACTCCACCCTTTCCTTGGAAACAGTGCATGTGACATTTCAAATGTCAAGCAAATGCTTGTTTTGCAGTCAAACAGAATCCGCTGTAAAGAGTGGGCCAGTTTTATACTCTAAAATTGATCTTCTAACATAGCTTTAACATACTGCCCTATTGGCGTGGTATTTTATAATTGTACCGACGAATGTTTAGGTGAAAATGATGCTGAACAGATCATGCACAATTCTTTGTGAGAAAGTTTGGTCTCAGGAGGAATCTGATACTGTGGCTAAGAGAATCAAGGAAGATTACTCTGTTCATATGTGAGTCCAATGTTTTCCTAATTCAAGCTTCAATACTGTTTTACAAATTGTTTCATGTTGTTTTGCACTAAATTTGTATAATTTCGTTTGATTGCAGGCTGATTGATAACCTTCCTATTGCTACAAAATTCAGAACTTTAGATAACACCAATCTGGTATGATGAATAATTTGATATTAACTTTGTCTAGGATGATTTATAATCTCTTTAAAATATAATTATGATGATGTCTTCTTGGTAATCACTTTCCTTACAATTGATGACACACTTTCTCTCTCTTTCTAATTCACCCTCTCTAATATATCCTATATCCTTTCTCTCTAATTCACCCTCCCTCTCTTCAATTCACACACTTTAATCCACCTCTCCAATTTTTTGTCTTTCTCTAAGTCATCCACCTCTCTAATTCACTTCCTCTAATTCATTCTCTTTAATTCACCTTCCAATTCATCCCCTCACTCTTTAATTCACTCTTTTTCATTTGATCTTTCTCTAATTCACCTTCACTCTCTAGGCCCACTCACCTAATTGACTTGCTGTGCATAACCCCCTGTTTCATTACTAACCCTTTTTATCAGCCTTCTCATAAAATCCATAGATCTCTTAATCTCCCTCTGAGTGTTCTCTGTGATCCACGCCCTCTCCACTTCACCCCCTCTCTAATTATCTATGTTTCCAGGTCCAATACGAACATGGCTTTAAACTTGGCTATGAAAAAGATGGAAAAGTAAATCTATTATGTATTATATTACATGAAGTATTACTTTCATTGCAATCAGAATTATAAATATACTCAAAATATTTTCTTCTCTAGATTTACATCAATAATCTTCTTCATATGATAATCAAGTATCACACGGACGACAAGTAAGGTGTTTGGGGGTCACAGCAGCAAACTTTGGTTTTGTAAAAATATTGAGTATATAACATTTCTATGTATTCTGCGTTCCTCTTTATGAATTGATCATCCTGATCGATCAGATTAGGAGTCTTGTAGAGATTCCCGATTGTTTGAAATCATTTCCTGGCTCTTTTTCAGTGAATCATTCCGTGTGGTCGGGTTTGAAGCTCAACCTATGAGGTAGGGTTTGATTTTAGTTTAGACTGCAGTATTCAAAGATTTGGCTTAACTCTGGGTTACTGCATGATTCCTGGAAACGCCAGGCAGTTGACTGGTTAACAAAAGTTCAGTGAATTACAGTGTAGTAGTTCAATTGTTGAGTTCATTCATTTGGTCAAACATTCTGGCCAGGATTCTTATACTGCAGTTGAAAAACTATTTTGCAGCATTGGAAATATAGAAACAAAAACAGTTGAGAAAGATATTACTGAAGCTCTATGTACCTACAAATTAAACAGTCAAGAAGTTAAACAGAAAGGCATGTGTTTAAAATTTTTTGCCTCGAGATATCAACTGGATATATCAATCCTGAATATTTTATACATTGGATTAGTAATTACTGCTGACTTAATAATAGACTGTCACCCATCTTTTTCAATCCTTCCCCGTTTAGGCTTCTTTTAAAATCTTGAATTTGTGTTCTAGGAGGAAATACCATTCGTTTTGCCTACGTCGTGACTTGGGAGGTAAGCGCTACGGTAAATCGTTCGTCTTACGATATCCAGGTGCTCTAGTGTCCATATTTTAACCGATCAGCACTCAGGGGCCGGTTGTTCGAAAGGTGAATAAAGTTATCCACTGGATAATGACTTTTTCAACCGTCGTAAAAAATCTTTGAACAACGATAAAGCTACTTAGATTAATTTATAATCGTTAGAAAGAATTTTAACTTCAAGATTGTGAAGTTTAATCTTGGCCATGTCAACTGGCGAGGATTATTTTAACGTTTGAAATAATCACTATCCGTTGGATAACTTTATCCAAGTTATCCACCTTTCGAACAACCGTCCCCAGAAATAGAAATCCATTCATATTAGCAACACTGATCTTAACGCTTGTTATATGGAGGGACTAGATTGACTAGTAACTTCTGAAATATCACCTATTCGAAATGTGTTGATCTAGTAGTTCAGTTGGAAGACATCGAAACCAACCGTACCTAAACTAATTTTTCAGCTGGCTGGGTTGGTAAACTCAGAGTAGGCTGAGTAGCACCATCATGATAATAATCGACACTGTTTTTTTAGCCAAGTGCCATTGTCTGGGCGTCTCGATGGGACACATATCTTGCAATGAGCGACGTACAAATCCATTGGTTCTCAATCGTCAACTCTGTCGTTATTGCAATATTCCTCTCGGGTAAAAGGCAATGTTGTGTTTTTAACGTTCTGATTTCTGGGGTTTTATGAGAGTCGATCTTGGTCTAATATGATCTCTTTCTGCCAAGGTATCGTCTCCATGATTCTTATACGAACTCTTCGCCGTGACATTGCTAAGTACAACCAAGAAGATGAAATGGTAAAAATTTTAGAACAGTTTAGAACTGATAGAGCTATCCAGTTTAAATAAAGTTAGTTTAGTTTAGGTTTCCTCCTGTAGTAACATTGGATCAATAAGAGATGATCTCTACTGGACCTCTAGGAAGAACAGTTTAGAACTGATAGAGCTATCCAGTATAAATAAAGTTAGTTTAGTTTAGGTTTCCTCCTGTAGTAACACTGGATCAATAAGAGATGATCCTTACTGGATCTCTAGGAAAAACAGTTTAGAACTGATAGAGCTATCCAGTATAAATAAAGTTAGTTTAGTTTAGGTTTCCTCCTGTAGTAACACTGGATCAATAAGAGATGATCATTACTGGACCTCTAGGAAAAACAGTTTAGAACTGATAGAGCTATCCAGTATAAATAAAGTTAGTTTAGTTTGGGTTTCCTCCTGTAGTAACATAGGCTCAGTCAGGACTATAGGATACAGACGAGGATTTAGTGAAGTAAGTATCGTATGATTTTTAATTAATCTGTATCTGGTATTTGTCTTTAGGACGACACAATTGAAGAAAGTGGTTGGAAGTTAGTCCACGGCGATGTCTTCCGTCCTCCAAGATTCCGTCTTCTTCTAACAGCGTGTGTTGGTTCTGGAGTTCAGCTTTTTGCCATGGTTTTGATTACATTGGGTACGGCTAACAGAATTTCACTACTGAAGAAACCACAACTAAATCTAAAACGCTTTTTTCCAATTTCTTTTCAGTCGTTGCAATGTTTGGCATGCTCTCGCCTGCGAGCCGCGGAAGTCTTTTATCAGCGGTCGTATTCCTCTTTGTCTTCATGGGGTACGTTATGAACTCGAGTCATGGTTTTTACTGGAGCCGGTTGTTTAAAACTCTCTAACTAGTAGTTTAGTCAGAAATACACAACTCTGATTGGCCAATTCTGGTCTTTTATCAAATAGTCTTTTGTACAACTGGCCCCAGTTATGTAACCGTATGGTATAATTTTGCGAGGTGTGACTTTGTCCTAAATCATATTTTCCTGTTTTCCAGAATGTTTGCTGGATATTTCTCGGCCCGTCTTTATAAAACGTTGAACGGTCAAAAATGGAAGCGAGCTGCCCTGGTCACCGGAACTTTGTACCCCGGGGTTATCGCAAGTCTGGTGTTCATTTTGAACTTTTTCATTTGGGGAAAACATTCTTCTGGAGCGGTGAGTGTTATGAATGGAAGTTGAATAAGAGTTGACTGGATATTACCACACGTTGCAGTCAAACGAGGGAGAACTGTCGTCAACTCTCATGACCTGGTCAAACGAGAACTAAAGTTGCATGAAAGTTGACTGGATATTACCACACGTAGCAGTCAAACGAGGGAAAACTCTCGTCAACTCTCATGACCTGGTCAAACGAGAACTAAAGTTGCATGAAAGTTGACTGGATATTACCACACGTAGCAGTCAAACGAGGGAAAACTCTCGTCAACTCTCATGACCTGGTCAAACGAGAACAAGAGTTGCCTGAAAGTTGACTGGATATTACCACACGTAGCAGTCAAACGAGGGAAAACTCTCGTCAACTCTCATGACCTGGTCAAACGAGAACAAGAGTTGCCTGAAAGTTGACTGGATATTACCACACGTAGCAGTCAAACGAGGGAAAACTCTCGTCAACTCTCATGACCTGGTCAAACGAGAACAAGAGTTGCATTTGCGAGCTTGACTAACAGTTTCGTCTTCCAACTAAACTAACCTTATCTTTATATCCTCTCAAGCTTCCATTCACGACAATGCTGGCTCTTCTTCTGCTTTGGTTTGGTATTTCCCTACCCCTGGTATTCCTAGGATATTACTTTGGCTATAGAAAATATGTGAGTATATTCTCTCCTCTTTTGTTGTGACTAAACGCCAGTTCTCACTTTTGCTAAATAACAAACCAAGCAACCATATATTTCCCTTCATAGCCATACGAACATCCTGTACGAACAAACCAAATACCACGACAAGTCCCCGAGCAAGTTTGGTATGTCCATCCTATACCCAGGTAAGATCAGTTGACGGGCGCTGATTGGCTAAAATATGAGCACGAGATCACATGATTTGTATTGTTTTTTAATAAAATGATCATTTATTTCGCAGCAATCTTATGGCGGGAATTCTACCATTTGGAGCAGTTTTTATTGAGCTGTTCTTTATTTTAACGGTATGTTTTTTCATTCAACTTATTGTTCAGTTTTTGTTCATTTTTGATATGTTAATTTTTGTATATTGATGTATGCTGCTAACTCAGAACTCTCTTCGTAATCTTTTAGGCAATCTGGGAAAATCAATTCTATTATTTGTTCGGCTTTCTATTTCTTGTTTTTATTATTCTCGCAATGTGCTGTTCTCTCATCGCCGTCGTAGTTACTTATTTCCAACTTTGTGCTGAGGTAAGTGAAATGATTGTGCTGTTGTAAAATACAAGAAATATTTACCAAAAGGTTCTGTAAGATCATTTCATTGATCCACTGTTGGTAAACTAAACATTGATCCAACTTTATTTATACTGCATGGATAGCTCTATCAGTTCTAAAGTGTTCTTTCTAGAGGTCCAGTAAGGATCATCTCTTATTGATCCAGTGTTACTACAGGAGGAAACCTAAACTAAACTAACCTTATTTATACTGGATAGCTCTATCAGTTCTAAGCTGTTCTTCCTAGAGGTCCAGTAAGGATCGTCTCTTAGCATACACGCAGTTACAGCACACAGAACCATTGTTAAAGTTTATAGAAAATTATTACAATATATACTATTTCTTCGTTCAAGGATTATCACTGGTGGTGGAGGTCGTTTCTCACTTCCTCATCCTGTTCATTTTATGTTCTTGTTTATGCCATATTTTACTACGTCAATAAGGTTTGTAACATGACGTTTTTATGGAAATTTTCATTTAAGAGTTCTTATACATCAGAGCATCGTATCAAATTACTCATTCACATCTATCAAAGAAAGAAAATCGCAAGTGTAAACAAGCTTTACAAATACGTCTCGAGATTTTGACCTGTGTATTTCTTGTATCTATTTATTGTGTATTTATTTATTAAAGTTTTGACACAAATAGAAGCGATATAAAATGTATTATTTCACAACGTTTCGATGCTGCATCTCGCACCATTTTCAAGTGATAAAAATACATTAGTGAAGCATCAATATATTCAATCGTTCACAGCTCAATATATCAATATATTCAATCGTTCACAGCTCAATATATCAATATATTCAATCGTTCACAGCTCAATATATCAATATATTCAATCGTTCACAGCTCAATATATCAATATATTCAATCGTTCACAGTAATTTATTTATTACTCTGTTTAATTTTTAGCTTGAGATCGTGAGTTTCGTCTCTGGCCTGATATACTTCGTGTATACTCTGATGATGGTGTTTACGTTTTGGCTTCTGACTGGCACAATCGGTTTTTATGCGACCTACTACTTCGTTAGAAAAATATACGGCGCTGTGAAAATCGATTGAAATGACACGAATATAAGCGAGCAATAACATTTGTGAATAATAACTAAACCAGGGCAGACTATTTCGCTTTAAATAGGTTGAAAACATGTAGTTTGGGACTGCTTATGACTTGTAGCAGAGCCCTGAATGCTTCCAGCCTCGTTAGCTCAAGTTGAGGAAAAGATTTGAAGAGGCTGGGACCGCTTGGGTCTATTAAATGGCTGTCCAGTGATGGGGATTTTTTTTCAATTTTTTTTAAAATTCTTGCGCCGCTTTCCGTGCAGTAACTGTAATCATATGTGTTTGCATGTTTTTATATTTCTTCGGTGAGGTTTTCAACGCGGGATTTTTCATCTTAAATTGTCAGGAAACTAGCTCGCTCGAAAGCCCGTGCATGAGTAAAACTTTGGCGAATATAAGGTCTTAACAAAATAGCAATTATATTAATGTAATGTTTATCATATTTAAGAAACCCTCCAGGTGATATTAATATTTTTATGCATTGCCCACTCGCGTTGTTTCTGTCGAAACAGGCGTGAAGGGTTTCATGCTTAATTCTCGTTAATTATTCGATTAAAACAGTTGAAATCGCTTCCTGAGACGACATTTTTGCGCGCGCGCTGTGATATCATTTTTGGATGAGAATAACACTGAAAGTCCCACATGCGGAAATGTTGTTTTGGGATATTTTAATGGAAATATATTGTATTATTTACAAAAATATCTACCTATATCTAACACCCACGGGAGTGTTCGTGTTATCGACCTCAATCAATTTGATCGTCTAAACAAGTTTCTTAGAAACGTTTGAATTATCATTCTAAGTTGCTTTTAGTACTTGTTAGGTTACTTAATAAAACTTATGAGGGTTGACTAGAGTTGATAATGTGGATGAGGGTTGATTAGAGTTGATGAGTGTGGATGAGAGTTGATAAGTGTGGATGAGAGTTGATAAGTGTGGATGAGAGTTAATAAGTGTGGATGAGAGTTGATAAGTGTGGATGAGAGTTAATAAGTGTGGATAAGAGTTGATAAGTGTGAATGAGAGTTGATGAGTGAGGATGAATGTGGATGAAAGTTGATAAGAGTTTATGAGCGTAGGTGAGACCAGTTATGGGTGAAATGGACAAGAGTTGATGGAAATTCATAGGAGTAGATAACTGCGGATGAGAATTAATTAATGAAAGTTGATGGAATTTAAGAGTTCAATTACAGCAACAATCCACTTTCATTTTCGTTCGATCATATTCAATATTTTTTTCAGGATATTCTTGATATAATTGTTGTTTCACATCCCTTAGTTATCCATTTCTCACTGCCGGTCATTTGTAAGAAGCGGCTCTTTCTAGAATATCTCAGCCTCATCGTCTCTGGCGATATCCAAATTCTCTTCATGTTCTGTGGTTATTCCTACCGAATTCTGTTTTCTTTGAACAACATTCTCGTATTGTTGAACGAAGGCGTGAGATTTCTCCTGGATTTTCTTGTTATGTTCCTGCAGGAAGAGATTTAAAAGCTTTGTTGACTCAAATTGGAACACTTTTTTTTGCACTGGAAAGTGGAAAGAGCCGTATGTTGTTAAGTTTTTCTAAGGGAGAAAACCTAAACTAAACCAAATTATGCTGAGAATCTATTAATTACGTCGAATAGCTGGAGCGATCATTTACATCTGCAATTGAAAACTAGTGATGAGAAAAGTTCATTGTTTGATGTATGGACTCATTTCTGAAGTTTTCGAAAGCTGAGAATAGTCTTCAAAATCGATGGAAGAAATGGGCAAAAGTGTATTTCTGTGCGAAATTTGCTGGTAATGACTTGTTTCGTGACTTTCGTCCTAGGGCGCTTTTTCTTAAGGCCAAAATGCGGTCAAACCAGTCATATTTTGAATTAAAATCTTTAGTATTTCGTTAAGAATATAGCGGCGAAACTGCATTTCCTGTGCAAGGCAGATGTAAATAACGATATACTTGAATACAGAGTTCTTGAACACTCTAAAATACCAGTAATCTGTCTGTACCGAAATACAACCGGACCGGTCTGGCCATTTTTACCGTAAAAAGAACTAAGACAAAGGTTTTTTAAGGATATTCTACCTGTCGTCTTTCAGCTGCCTTTCTCATTTTTTCTTCCAACTCTTCTTTGGTTAGTTTTTTCTTCTTTTTTCTCCGTTCAAGCTTTGGTAGTTGAGCTTTTCTCATGTTACCCGTCTCAGGACAGAATGTGATGTCGAAGGCAAGTCCCCCCCTGGTCTTCGGTCGCTCGACCAGACCGCCGTTCGTAATCGGAGGAAACGTTGGCACAGATGATTCGGAGCTTCGCTTTTGCAATTCTAAGCGACGTTTTTCCTTGCCGCTTTGTTTTCTGGGACAGGGTACTCCCTCAAGAGTTAGATCTAAAATGCAACACATTTGCTTAAGATACGCTATCTAAATAAGAGATTTCTTAAACCGGAAAGCAGTGATTTATAGGAAAGTTTGTGCTTGTTTGAAAGAGCAAAATATCAAGTTGAGATTTTCTCAATTGCCCAAGTTGAAAAAATCTGGAATCATTGTTTCCTAGCTATAAATTCTATAGGTAGATGCAAACATCAAATATAAAACATCAAGATTTTAAACTATGGAAGTAAAATTCCTGATAATTCCGTCATAAGAGACGCTCAATTTGAAAACTAACTGATTTATAATAGTTATAACAATACTCTTCAAACTAAACAGAGTTTGCTAATGGTTGCTTAGTGATGGCGTCATTGTGCTGGTGGTTGCTAAGGGAACAGTCGTTGTCGTTGAAATTATGTTTATAAAACATCGCCTTTCTTTCTGTTACAACAAATTAAACAGCAAATATTCAAATGAACCACAATATCCGTCCAAGAAAACATAACCTTTCGGTCTATATCTGCTTAGATTTTCGATAAGAATCTGTACTATTAATGAAATCCTCTGAACAACACGACGGTGTTTTCTTTGACCTGGCTTGACAGATTGCCGACGACAAACATTTACTTTAAAATTATTTTTGCGAAGACACTCTAAACAAAAACAGCTGGAATTGAGCTAAAATTTCGCCAATCCAATCCAAATTTCGCCAATCCATAAAATATTTTAATTTTTTATCCGATATGGAGATGTCCAATTAAAGATTTTTTATTGTATGACATGACCATTGCATTACACTCCAAGCATATGGATATAAAAATTGTGCTCGAATTCGACGCGAACTTGCTTAGGTTCTCAATTTCAAACATTCATTTTATAAATGATTTCAATTAGAGTGAGTTTTGGCCGAAAAATTGATATTAAAGATTTGCGACACGTGTGACCTGATAGCCTCCGAATGAGATGGATATTATTTTGATCTAGTGGATATATTTTCAGTTGAATTCTCAAATGCCGGTGGGAATATGTCTGATGCCTGATGTCTGAAGGTTTTCTTGTAACCTCTAGTTGAAATGATCTTTTCCAACTTTAATCATTGCCATGCATTGATCTTCATGTAAACAGCTTGCATGAACAGGTGCAGTGTCTATATTTTAGTATTGCACAGCTTAAAATCTTAAAATGCTTTGGCGAAAATCCGAAAAAGCAATGGTCCGTTCAACGACCGACTTTAGCAGGCATGTGAGAAACCTGTCCTTATAAAGTTTTGTGAAATTTCACATCAGAATGCTAACTCTACAGTATTTTGCCTTCAAATATAGTATTGCTCAATTATTCACACTGTTCATAGATCCATATAGATTCATTTGCACTCGTAATTAATCCTACCTGGAGTTGCTGGTCGCTGTGAACTTTCAACTTGTATCAATTTATTCGGATTAGAATTTTCCGTGATCATTCCATCGTCCGGCAAATCGCTAATGCCACTATCCGCTGTTCTCGTAGACGATGCCGAAATTTCTCTAATTTTTCCCGACGTGTCGTTTACGTTCGAATTCGTATCGTTATTTCCATCTGATTTGACAGACACCCGGGAGCCTCGACTAGACAATGATGTCTTTTTTTTCCTCTCATCTTCATTCGGACTTTTCACAGCTTCTTCTATGTTCGTGGCGCTGGGTACTATTACTGCCTTTGAGCTACCACAACCCATCCCGGATTTTCAATCGTTTGAATAATATAAACAGGGCAATTTAATTGCAAATTCGAGATTCTAAGCTTAACAGTCTTTAAAAAATGCTTTGTTTTGTTGCCAAATGAACCAGTTGGTTTAAAGATTCTCGGAGCAAGCTTCGTTCCTCGACCTGTCTTACCGCCTTGCTGTATCTAACATATTGTTTGTGTTGTTTGCTGTGAACGTGGATATAAGCATGGAAATTTGAATGAGAGAGGCCGTGTTTGTTGTGTTTCTGTTGCTTAGTGATGTGGTTTGTGGTTCCGACTTCGAGGATTAAATCAAGGCTATCAGGTTACCACGCGTGACGATCGAGTTTATACTAGGATATGTATGTATATGCCGTTCTCTTCTACGGGACTACAGGAGCTAAATTCGTAATAATGTATAATAAAGCTATAAAAGCCATAAAGTTTACTACCTCTTGAAGTAAAAAAACAGCAAATTACCTGTTTGTATTCAAAAGAAAACAGGTTTAGAAGAGAAGATAGGAAACTCGTGACGAATGTACACTAGGATATAAATTCGACAAGCAACCGTTCTCTTCTACAGAGTACAGAACTACTCCGGCAACATCTCTCAATTCTCAATGAATCTTTGACTCCGTCTCTCAATGCTTCTTGTTCGCATTCTAAAACTTTAACTGTTGTTGCACTGGTCGACCGGGCTACAGTTTCTGAAATGAATAAAATCTCTTTTTCGTCGACGTAAAACGGAGTTTTCGTCATGAGATCCACACAAGGTTTTCGAATTTCGACCTTAGAAAAAATAGGATGGTCAAATATACCAGTATATATATATTCGACCTTGGTAGATGGTCTGAAAGAAATGGCAATTAAAAAGGATGAGTTTTTAGAGGACTCAAACCTGTTTCGTCCCGAACAGGTTTCCGGACCGACTTTTTAGACTAATTTCCTGGAAAGATGGAGTGTTACACCCCACACACCCCACAGCACACCCCACACACCCCAACAAGCATCCCTATGCATAAGTGTCGAAATTTAAGACAACTTTTGAGAGGCTTCAAAGCCTCAAATTAAGTGACGAAATTTTAAAACGGGGTGTTGAATAAAATCTTAAAATCATGGGGTGTCATTTTTGAACTCTCTTGGAACGGAACCAGAGTGGCCATCATAATTTTTATCTTGCAAAGTACCAATTTCTACAATGCCAAATCTCACGTCTTTCGTTTTGCAAATCGTATAAAATGCGCTTTGTTATAAATGTGCTTTGTAAATTGTAATTTAACCAGTGAACTCAATCATATGAGATTCTCCGATAAGAAGACAAGAAGTTTATTTTCGTATCAATCGCCGCATGCAGCGCGCTAAGCTTTAAAAATTTTTAATCAAATGATCGCCAGGTTTGTGGAGTATTTTCATGTGTTTCTTTGTTGACGGGCAACTGATTTGAAAAACGAAACTTTGTTCTTAAACATGGCGAACTTTGAAAAGTCTCTGCGGTTTAAGCTCGTGAATGGCCGTCTTAGTCACGTGGTATTGTGTTTCCATCATGTTTCCATTCTGCGCGGTTTCCGTGAAGTTGTCAAACATTAGCTTGGTCGAACTTAAACTTAACGTAAGCAGCTAGGTTTGGGTACAATGTGTAGCACTCAATGATGTGTGCTTCAGGCAGTCTTCCTTTACAAAACTGAGCAACAGCCACGCAATAATCATAAACACTGCACTCGCGTATAAAGTAAAGTCGTGCAGCGCTCAGCAAAGATAAAAGTTTCACGCTATAGCACACACATCATAAAATTGCACCCAAGTGTTCTAATTCAGTGTAATTGGGTTCATATCTTTCAATAATCATTGTTTGAAATACTTTCTTATATCGTTCCCTTCAATACAAAAAAATTAGTCGCAGCTGCAAGCTCTTAAAATTCGGTATTTTTTTGCGTTGTGCGTGCTGCAGGCTTCGGCTGTTTGTTTTAACTGTAGCCGTAGGTAATTTTTGATAACAATTCAAAAAAGAATATTTTGCGCCTAGAAGGCAAATGTTTTTCTGACACTTGGTACAAAAAAAAGATCATTCGCTTTAGCATATTCTGTTTTTTTTTGCTCGAGTTTTACTGTCTTTTGTCCATTGTGTATCTGTCGGGGTGTAGGTTGAACCATGCACGAGCTGGACAATTGTTTAAAACATATTTTTTGATACTGGTGGTAAATTTCTTTGCAACAACGACAATGCATGTCTCATGGGTTGGTTTGTATGAAGATGATCCAGACCTGGTACCCAAGCTAGCTTGCTTTCCTCAGACGAAATTCATCCCTTTTTACAATAGGAAGATCTTCGGATCGCTAAGACAAAGCATTAATATTAGTAGTAACTAGTAAAATGTTTATTTTAGCCTAGGCTAGGGGCTGTTTACATGATCCTGGTTAACGAAGCGCAAGATTGCTTTGAGGTATTGAAAATTGAAATAAGTATATAACAAGATCCTGGCAATCCTGTAATAAATCTCCCAGACAATATCATGTGTTTCTTTGCTGTCAAACTGACTCAAACAGTCAAAGTGATCTCACGCTTGAATATCAGCTCAGCAGCTTAAAGTTTCTTTCCTGAGACGAAATTTATCCTGTGTTTATATCGCAAGGTCTTTGGTCGAGGTGGATCACAACACAAAGGATTAAAATTAGCTGAAAAAGTTTATTCTAAATACACAATGCTTGCATGTCGTATGTTAAACATACAACTGTTCAGTGAGTTTTATATTTAGAGAAATCTACCTTACAAATTATTTAAACTACAAAATACAAGTTATTAGAATTACAATCATATACAATCAAGAAACTATTTACAAAGCAATAAAAACCTTGTCAGAAACTACAAACACTGATTGATTTTTAAACAATGCCAATGGCAATGCAAACTGATTTATTAAATTTATTGGTAAAAAATTCCAACATAAACTTCTCAAAAACTTCTCATCAACACAGGCAAAATATATTCCACAAAAAACATTTCAAATAACATTTGCTTGTATAAAAAACTATGAGAGTAAAATAACCAATGTGTCATGTAAAAAAATATTAATATGATTTGCCTGTAATATACAGCTTAGGAAAAACATTTGACGTGTTTTACAAGATTGCAGCCATTACGACTTTACATTTAGTAAATCAGTTTGCAGTTGTCGCTCTTAGCATCACTTAAATATTTAATATCTTCAGTTGTTAAATCATAATTCTCACTTACATCTAGTTCAGTAAGTTTACAGTTGTCACTCTTCAAAGCATCACTTAAATATTTAACACCTTCAGTTTTTAAATCATTGCCCCTTACATTTAGTTCAGTAAGTTTACAGTTGTCATTCTTCAAAGCATCACTTAAATATTTAACACCTTCCGTTGTTAAATCATTGCCACTTAGATTTAGTTCAGTAAGTTTACAGTTGTCATTCTTCAAAGCATCACTTAAATATTTAACACCTTCCGTTGTTAAATCATTGCCACTTAGATTTAGTTCAGTAAGTTTACAGTTGTCATTCTTCAAAGCATCACTTAAATATTTAATATCTTCAGTTTTTAAATCATTGCTACTTACATCTAGTTCAGTAAGTTTACAGTTGTCACTCTTCAAAGCATCACTTAAATATTTAACACCATCAGTTTCTAAATCATTGACACTTACATTTAGTCCAGTAAGTTTACAGTTGTCACTCTTCAAAGCATCACTTAAATATTTAACACCTTCAGTTTTTAAATCATAGACACTTACTTTTAGTTTAGTAAGTTTACAGTTGTCATTCTTCAAAGCATCACTTAAATATTTAACACCTTCAGTTGTTAAACCTCTATTGCCACTTACATATAGTACAGTAAGTTCACAGTTGTCATTCTCCAGGCCATGGTTATCTTTCTTCAAAAACTCAGCCAATTCACGGGCAGTAATGTTCATCACAGTACAACGAATGATTTGAAGCTTTTTCAAGTTCTTGATGTGGCTTAAAAATTTGAACAAAGCCGTAGATTCTGCTGGTGCAATATTTAATCCTTCCAAACGAAATGTTTCATGATCATCCTCAGACGCAACCGACGAAATCATTTTCATGACGCGATCTTCTTGCATTTCCCAAACACTTTTTATCACGAGTAAACCTTTGTCATTACTCTCGTCAATACGTCGTTTGTTTGGCATCCAGTCTTGAAATCTAGATTAAGATATTTTAAGAGAAAATTTCAGAAGTTTAGGATTATATTTCACTGAAGAGAACTTCGTAGTATTAAATGGCCATTTTATCAGAGAAAATTAATTCACAGCGTGAAAACGACAACTACACAGACAAGTGATTTTGGTTTTTTCTACAAACAAGACTATAAAAATATGAATTTCTTAAAACATATATAAATTTTGTGACCGTTTTTTCTTCAGAACGACGTTAAAACGTTTCCCCCCCTTCCGTTTTTTCCAGCTGCTAAAAATTGAAGGTTTTCGACTTCGCATGTGCGAAACAAAAACTATTTTAAATTCGTAGTGAAATATTACCTCATATTACAGAATTACGGCAACAAAACGTCACTTATATGTTTTAAATATATCCATTCAGATAATTTCAGCTTTCCCTTCTTTCTTTTTAATAATCTTGAATAGTTTTTGAACTTTTTTTGTTTGTTTTTAACTCAGTTTTTTCCTCATCTTCGCGGGTCATGAAAAATGTCAGGAAAAAATGAACCGCAGCCGAGTGTCACGTGAATCACTGATTAGCCAATCATATCGCTTCAAACCACCTCAACTGACACGTGCTTGTCCTATAATGAATATTTCATTGTACAGCATGCAAAACTATTGACTAGGAAACTGCACTGGAATCAATCAAAGTCATCAAAAGTTAGAATTTCATTTAAACATCTTATAACAGTTATAATTATGTTAATAATTGTGTGAATAAAAAATAAGTACAGCAACAACCTTTCACAGAATTGGCTAATCAGAATTATTTGTATGCAACAGGCAGAAGTTTTATCAACCTTGGAAAATCCCCAGAGAAAATGTTTTCTTGAGGTAAATTGATGCATCATCACACAGAAATTATTTATCAGCCTAATGCAATATGCCATTATAAATTGTAACAAATTTATACCTTTTGCATACACGTTCGATCACTTCATTCAGTTCATTGTCTTCATGCTCTGCTGACCTGATAAAATTATATGTGATAATTGATTTAGTACAAACACAAAAAGATATATCCATATTTTTTTCCTTTGAAAATACAAGAAATACTTTCCAAATTGGAAAGTGAAAGTTGCTCATAAGCAATACTTCCAACCCAGACCTAATTAAACTGGTTGTATTTCTCTTTTGATTACAGATATGATAAACACAATTAAAAAATCCCAGCATTGATTATCTATCACATTAAAAAAATTGAAATCACCAAAAAGGTTGAAAACATCAAAATTTGCACTTCTCATATCCAAATGCATTTCTATCTGTGCATGGGAAAACTAATACCATGTGTATTGGTTATATATGCAGAGTTTTTGCTCCATCAACCAGGGGCTTCATCAGTGCAATACAATGAATAGATAATATAAAAAGATTCCCTCACATACAAATATCTATCAAATTGAGTTGTGACTATACAATACAACTGGCTACTGTATTACTTTTTTTTTTAAATAATTTGAAGAAAAATAAGACATACCTTAACTCCCTCATCCTATCTCCAAGTAACCCAGCTACAAACTGGATCACCAAATGCCACCTGGGTTCATCAATGTGTTTAGATAAGAATGATTCAACATTTCTAATATCATCAACCACATATAGTGCAGTCAGAAACTCTTGAATTGTAAGATGAAGGAAAGAAAAGATGTACTGATTTTCTTCTTCTAACTGATTAAATACACCAGAATCTGCCAAGTCAGCCATAAATTCATCACTGCTATCAAACTGAAAAACTAGCTGGTTGTCTTCCATCCCTTGCATTGCAATTTTTTTCAGTTTGTCTAAGCTGTTTCGAAGCTGCTCTGGAATTTTTGCAGTCAGATAATCCTTTGGGACTGGTTTATTCAAGTATTTTGAATTGTGTTTGAACAGCAAAATCCTTATAGCTCTTTTGTACAGTTCAGTCATTGTTTTAGGAATCTTGCTGTAGCTTTTATCCTTCACATGTTGACCAAAATCAATGCTTTTATATAATGTCAAGCACACTATATAGGAATTAACTGGTACGTAACAGAAGCTTAATAGTTCTGGGGAATCCTTGATTATGTTCCATATTTCTGAACTTTTCTTGGTGTTGTTACCACAAAATTTCCTAACATACTCTTCTATTTGTTTCTCACTAAAACCTAACATTTCCACTTCTCTATCAAATTTTAGCTCTCGATAGATCCGTTCTGCTGTTGGTCGAGATGTGGTTAATACAGTGGCTCCAGGTAATAATTCATTATTCACCAGCTGTTTGAAAATCAGGTATATATGAGCATGTTCTTCTAGGCTGTTTACAGTTTTTCCATTAGTTAAACACTCATCATCTACCTTGAGTTCATCTAAGCCATCAAAAACAAGGATGGTTTTACTTGGGTTCTGATGGATATAATCATGGATAGACTTATTGTTGGACAGAGCTGTTGCCTTATTAAGACCATGAGCCTGATCTAATATTTCTTGAAGATTTGTTTTTTGTTTGTTAAAATTACGAAATTTGATCAATAGTACAATTTTTTCATACCAGAATTCATCAGGTCGTAGGCTATCTTTCCACTCCTGAGATATTTTTTGGGTTAATACAGTTTTTCCAATGCCAGGTCTGCCAACTACAAGAACAGTTCTAGGTTGTTTCTTACCAGCTTCTGCTGCTTGAAATAATTCTGCTGTACTCTCAAGTACTTTTGCATTAGGGGGCTTTTTCAATTGAATGTCATAAATCTCATGTCTACCTTTCATAAATTCATTTCTCGAATAATTGACACGTTCCCTTCCGTCTTGAATTATAACATTGATATAGATTTCATCCAGGTTTTGTTTCCGTCCGAAGGCATCAGGCACAGTGAATGAATGTTTGACTTTATTTTCCTGAATCATCTCCTGTATTTTCTGCTTTACTTCTTGGTTAGGAGAGTTAGAGTTAGTTTCTGAAATCATCTCAGGTATTTCCTGGTCTACTTCTTCTTTTATAGGTGAGTTAGAGTTAGTTTCTGAAATCATCACAGGTATTTCCTGGTCTACTTCTTCTTTTATAGGTGAGTTAGAGTTAGTTTCTGGAATCATCTCAGGTATTTCCTGGTTTACTTCTTGGTTAGGAGAGTTAAAGTTAGTTTCTATAATCATCAGAGGTATTTCCTGGTCTACTTCTTCGTTTATTGGAGAGTTAGGTTTTGTTTCTGCATCTTTTTTGTCTAAAAGGTGCCTGCTAATGAACTCCTGATCAGTACGGAAAGTTGGTCTCTTCAATGCCGACCACAACAGATAAACAATCTCAACGAGTGTCACTGCATCGACGAGAAAATTTATCGTGATAAAGCCGACAACAACTTGTTGTTTCTTCCCAGCCATTGAATAAGTGCAGTCCACAAATGAAGAATGCGTAGTTGGTCGTGTAACGTTCTCATGGGAAGTACTAGTTGTTGTTTTCATATTGGGCACAGGACATTGAAAATGGGTAGGAAAATTGGACGAGGTTAAGAGAAATGCTGAGAATATTGTCAGTGGTAATATACGACAAACGATCAAATGGATCATGTAAGCCATAAATACAAAATAACTACGATTACTACCTCGGTAGACTTCCCGTGTGGCTGGCGATGCTTCAGACTGTAGTGGCTGGCTTTCTTCTACGCCCTCGTTCGTCGTTGTGTTTGGATTATTTGCGAAGATGTCGACTCTATGTTTCACCAGGTAACCGTAGACAACGCTCAACACAACGACAAGTCCAAAACTTATCACAATCTGGACATTGAGAGATAACGAAGGGAGGAATTCTTGGGCATATTGAAGACGACATTGTGTTTCAATGTACTTCCCCTTGAATAAAGAGCTCGTGAGGTCACATTCCAGACTTGATTTCGACTCGTAATCACTCGCGATTGCAATTAGAACAACACCAGTTGCTACAAACAAAGCAAGAACTACTGAACTGTGGGTATTGTAGCAATTACGAGGAACCTGTTTTAAGCAATTTTCCATGTCTGACTTGTCTGTAAAGGCGGATTTCCACTTACAGCGAAATCGTTCGCTAGCGAAATATTTGCATATTTTCTTTTGAATTGAGAACAGTCAAGTCTAATTTATTTATGCCGTTAAAATTAAAAAGAAAATATGCAAATATTTCGCTGGCGAACGATTTCGCTGTAAGTGGAAATCCGCCTTAAGAGTACTTGATCCTTTCCCAGAAGTTTGATCATTTGATCACATTAGGACATACCATCCTACTGTAATTTTGCACCAACACGCTACACCCTCCAAGACCATTATGATTGGTTAAATACCGATAAAGAATTTATTGCTTTCTGCACTTGAGACGTAAAGTAGATGAAATACTTTAGTTTGACGCACGATTAACACCTTCGTCCACCTTACTTACCCGATTGGATGGTTAGGTGTTAGCCCGTCGCTCGCGGGAGGGGTGGCTTGGAACGAGTGCTGTTACTTGGAGCCAGGTTGAGATCCCTACGGTATCTTAAGCTGAGCACACACCCCTCCTCCCGCCGAGAGCTAACCCTTCACACCAACTTTGTTGGTGGAAAAGACAGGCAAATGAAGAGAGTAAATCAAAGGAGAAAGAAAGAAATTTACTAATAGCAGTTTACCACAAGCTGCTGTTGTCGACGTTATCGCTCGTTCGCCGACGGGTTGTTAATGCCCTCTGCGGGCTCTGCTCCGCACCTTGCCTCCACTCGCCCCTCCCATTCGGTCACGTGGTTGCCTGACGTCACTGAACCGGTTTCCTCGTTGTTAACCTTGGTTATTGCATAACCCCATGTAATTTCCCTGGAATTGTGATGACATATAGGTAACGCGTGGGAGAGCGGAGATGAGGGTCAGTATATGTAGATAAAGAGCAGAATGTGCTGCCAATTCATTCTGCTCCTCTCTTCGTCTTCGACTAGGTAATTACAAATCGAATTTGAAACTTTTTACACTTCGGTTAACAGGTAACTATCTCTATATTTATTCTTATTAGAAATAATTTAGAATGTCTTTTGGCTTTCTCAATATTCTAATTTTGGGTCATTCTTTTGTCCGTCGCTTACGGGATGATTTAAAGGCTAATTTCGATTCCCAGGTGATTGACCTTAATATCGCCAAAACGCGGGAATCTGATAGTGTTTTTAACACCAAGGCCGCTTTTTTGCGCCAGTATTTGTCCGTGGTCCTTGCAGAGGAGCAGGGTATTTTTCTGTGGGAACATCGGGAATTTTACAATCCCGCGCGTGTTCTGTTATCCCCTGACGGCGTTCATTGTAACACACAAGGGCAATATTGTTTGTATAGGAGCTATCGCGGGGCTATTTTGAAAGCTCTGGCACTGTTGTAGTTCATTTATTGTGTGTATATTATGCACATATTATATTATAGATGCGTGTATATGTTTTTTGTATATCTCTTACTACGCATACTCCGCATTTTTTATTTGTCGTTTATCATACGTTTGACTTACCCAGTATGGGCTAGAGCAACATAACTGTTTACAGATGCCCACGTTGAGATTTCAACATTGGGTTTTTTGCTGCGCAGGACGAGTTCATGATTGTACATGATTTTCAGTATTTGCAGCATCACGGGATAATCAAATGCGGCTACCCTCGTTGTTGTATGCCATGATTATTTAGTTGCCCTTTCAAGTCCTCCTGTCTTTTTTAATATTTGTCAATTGTATTGTGCGTGGCGTGTCAATCAATCAAAACTTTATTTAAGCACGGTAAAATCTACAGTATAAAAAGTGGGCTATAATTATATACATTCATTAGATATTTAGGGACAAAATTACTAAATACAACACAATACAATACAATTTAAAATACACACATATAAACTGATTTACAAGATTGCCGTGCGAGAGTCTGTTTTATAGGGAAAAAATGTTGTCAATCTCCCTTTTAAATTAGTTAAGAGAGCATAATGCTCGTACATTTTGAGGTAACTCATTCCACAACACCGCGCCACTATAACTAAAACTTCGTTTAGCATAATTTGTTCGCGGTTTTGGTACAAATAAAGCATTTTCAGAGTTTCTCAAATTGTTCGTGCTGTGCAATTCAAATCAATTACGGAGATAATTCGGTGTTAAATTTAAGAATTTTGAACATTATTACAGCCTTGGTGTTTTTTCCGGCGTGTCGAAAGATTGTCCCAACCTAGTTTAGTGAAAAGGTCGCTGGAACTTGCATCGTATCCAGATTTGGTAATTACCCTCGCTGCTCTATTTTGCAGTTTTTGCAATTTATCATTTAACGTGATATTTAAACCATCCCAAACTGAACTACAATAATCAAAATACGTTGAATCAAAGCTCCGTAAATTTTGAGGGCAGTGCTTGCATCTATGAACTGGCGTATCCTTTTAAGAGCACCAATTGCCGACGCAACCTTTTTGGAAATGCCTTCAACGTGTCGCGCCCATACTAGGTGCTCATCAATTTGTAATCCTAATGATTTCGTATCTTTAACTTTTGATTATCTTCCCGTCAATTTCAATGTTTATTTGTTCATTATTGTGTATCATTAACCGTTGACGAGATCCAATTATCATAAATTCCGTTTTAGCGACATTTAGACTCAGTTTGTTAGCTATGAGCCATTGATTAAGATTTTTCAATTCAGAGTTAATTATTGATTCAAGCTCTGTTACAGATTTTGCCGCAATACTTATATTAGTATCATCAGCAAACATTCTCGGAGAGGCTCTTTCCAGACAATTAGGGAAATCGTTAATGTAAATTAAAAACAATAGTGGCCCCAAGTTGCTACCTTGAGGCACACCACAACTTATTTTAACAGCCTCAGATAATTCACCATTTACGCAACATCTTTGGCCACGGTTGCTTAGATATGATTCAAAGAGTTTGATGCCGCTTTGGTCAACACCATATATTCTTAGCTTCCGTAAGAGAATGGTGTGATCAATGGTATCAAATGCTTTTTTGAGGTCGATAAAGACCACTCCATTGAGTAAGCCATTATCTATGTTGATTGACCATTTGTCCGTTGCTTCTAATAAGGCAGTTAATGTACTGTGCAATGATCGAAAACCGGATTGAATTTTGGATATCAAATTATTAGCATTTAAATACTCATATAGCTGATCAAAAATCAGTTTTTCAAAAATCTTAGCAACACATGAAATTACGGATATTGGTCGATAGTTGTCCATATCATCTTTTCTACCTTTCTTAAAAATCGGCGTAACTCTTGCTAACTTCCATTCCGTTGGGAATATGCCAGTAGTTATAATCTTATCAAATATTAGAGTTAATGATGGGGCAACGATTTCAGCTGCAAGTTTTAAAAGTTTGCAGGGTATTTTATCCAGACCTGATGCTTTCTTTTCGTTAATCGTTCTTAATTTACTACAAACTGTATTTATTGTGGGGGTGTCAATGAGAATGTGGTTTCAGTTGGCTCAATATAAACCTCCGGTTCCACAGCAGATGGTGGTATATCGGATGCTAAATTCTCACCTACTTTTGCAAAGTGAGAATTAAACATTTCGGCTATGTCCTTAGGCGCATTTATTGTTTCTTCGCCAATTGTAATATTAGATATTGTCTTATGACTAGAATTATTACGAGAGCTTAATTCATTAATAAGTTTCCAAGTTGACTTTAGATTGTTCTGGTTGGTCTCAAGGTTATCAGTAAAATATTGACTTTTCACTTTTTTAATTTCATTATTCGTAGAGTTCCTTAATGATTTATATTGTTGCCAAATCAATGTGTCTCCAGTCATTTTTGCTTTCTTTTTCAAAAAATCTCTCTGGCGCATTTTTTGTTTTAATTGATTAGTTATCCAAGGGGATTTCTTTTTCCCAATTCTTTTTAATCTGAGTGGAGCATGTTTATCAATGCAATTAAGTAAATTAAGTAACATCCCTTTCCATCTTACCCACATTTCATTAGGTTCATTGCACAAATTTAATTCTAACCATTGCTGTTGTTTTAAATCTCCTATAAAGTTTTCTCTATGAAAATTTTTCATACTCCTTATTTCAACTAATCGCGCTTCCGCTTTCTTATAATGAACCTTATGTGTCATATAAACTAAAACATGATCACTTATGGAAAGATCAATTATACCTGAATTTATGATCTTTGTTGGGGCATTTGTAACGCAACACATGCACACTATGGCGTAAAGACGCTAAAAAATAGTGCTCTGTGACATTTGAGATTTTTACACAATTACTGCTAAATTTTTAGAAACATTATTACGTTATTACTTAAGTAAGGATATCTTGAAAACAACGTTGGTGTTATTTTTTGTTAACTTGGTGTTTTCGCGCATTTTGTGACTCTATCAAGATTTGGACATTGAACATTGGTCATTGGAGTGGTTACGCGTTCATTGCTTTTAGCGTGAATAATTTCCAGTGCTACTTCAACTGTGAATTCTGTGAGTGCGAATTGGTTATATTATATATATTTTTGGAATTTTTGCAAATATTTGCTATTTCTCGAGTTTGGACCGTTAAATTATATTTGCGAACGTTATTCCGTTAACCGCGTACTACGTGATTTGGTAAATTGGTTGGTGACGACGCATGCTAATTAGAAACTATGCCGCAAGAAAGCAAAGACGGAGAGCGCGCATTTCAATGTAATTTGTGCCCGAGACAATTTGGTTCGGAACGAGGACGGTCGCTACATTTAAATTCATGCAGGAAAAAACACGCAACTGGTGGAGCGCGTCAACAAGATGGAAAAACATCAAGTATGCCTGGTTCTATTGTTGTCGATCCGGTTACTCCCTCAAGTTCTCAAAATAGCGGATCACCAGGTGTTTGGGGCAGCCTCACTAAAGACGATCTAAAGCAAGTTGTTAACGCAGCCTATGAAGAGGTGGTTTTTTGGCGCAAAAATCTGTTTATGTTGCCGAGTGGAGCTGCTGGAAAGTCATACGTCAGGGAACTGGAGAGACTTGTTAACGCTTGGAACAGTAACTCGGAGATCTTGCATGCATGATATTTCT